AATGAGATGTTTGAATGAATTGGAAATGTTAGGAACCAAATAATGATTCTGTTTCTACTTAAAATTTTAATGTTTTGTTCATTATGATGCTTTTGCATTAATTTTAATTTTTAAAGATTTCATTAAGTTATTTACCTTAATTACTGAATTTTTTGGCACCCCTTTAAATATTGCACCTAAAATTTTGCCTCACTCATCCTTGTCCTGGCCCTTTGTGTTTTAAAGTCTTGTGAATGACTAGACTCAGAGAAGGAAGAGCACATGGATAGAAAGAAAGGGCTGAGATAGGAACCCTGAGGAATAATCTCCATTTAGAGGTGGAAAGAGGAAAAGGATTCAGTGGAAAGTGAGAAGGGGCCATTCAAAGGAACAAATTGAGAGTTGAACCAGGAGAGGACATTCAGATAAGCTGGGATGAGGATAGAATTTTGAGAAGAAAGTAGGGTGGTCATTAATGATAATGCTTCAGAAAAGTTGAAAAGGGGGGAATAAAGCTTTAGAGGAGGTAGTAACCATTTGGTGATTAAGAATGTCATCAGTTGCTTTGAAGAGAGCAAGAGTTCCTGAAAAGATCTCCCACTGTAATCTGGAGGCTAAGGTAAAGATGAGCAAATTAGTGAGAACTAAAATGTAGGTTTTTAAAAAGAATATCAAAGAATGAGATTGATATGATGTGAGTACACAAAGCAAGAGTTCTAGTGTTGAGTTACTGTTAAAATGAATAAATCTTTATATGGGAAATAGATTCATTTACCATTTTTTTTTTTTTTTTTTTTTACCATTTTGTTTTTTGAACTCCCGACCTCGAGCAATCCACCCGCCTCGGCCTCCCAGAGAGCTAGGATTACAGGCGTGAGCCACCGCGCCCGGCCTTACCATTTTGTTTTTAATGAACTCATGTTTTGGCTGGAATGTTGGGGAGGTTTTGCATTATTTTTTTTTTTTTTATTTATTTTTTTTTTTTTGAGACAGAGTCTCACTTTGTTGCCCAGGCTAGAGTGAGTGCCGTGACATCAGCCTGGCTCACAGCAACCTCAATCTCCTGGGCTCAGCGATCCTACTGCCTCAGCCTCCCGAGTAGCTGGGACTACAGGCATGCGCCACCATGCCCGCCTGTTGTGGTTTTAATTCAGATTTTCCTAATGACTAATGATGTTGAGCATTTTTCACGTGCTAATTTGCCATCTGTATCTTCTTTGAAATGTCTGTTCAAATATTTTGCATATTTTTAATGAATTTGTGATATTATTGGGTTTTAAGAGGTTTTTATATATTCTGGATGCAAGTCTATCATCAGTGATATAAGATATGATTTGCAAATACTTCTAGTCCATGGCTTTTTTGTTTTCTTAATGGTTTATTTTAAAGTGTTTAATTTTTTTCTTTCTTTTCTTTTCTTTTGTTTTTTTTTTTTTTTTTTGAGACAGAGTCTCATTCTGTTGCTTGGGGCTAGAGTACCATGGTGTCAGCCTAGTTCACAGCAATCTCAAATACCTGGGCTCAAGCAATCCTTCTGCCTCAGCCTCCTGAGTATCTGGGACTACAGGCATGCACCACCATGCCCGGCTAATTTTTTTATATATATATTTTTAGTTGTCCAGCTAATTTCTTTCTATTTTTTAGTAGAGACGGGGTCTCGCTCTTGCTCAGGCTAGTCTCAAACTCCCGAGCTCAAATGATCCGTCCATCTCTGCCTCCCAGAGTGCTAGGATTACAGGCATGAACCTAAAGTGTTTAATTTTTATGAATCCAATTTGTTAATATTTTCTTTTATGGATCATGCATTTGATTGATACCTAAGATCTTTGCCTAACCCAAAGTCACAATAATACATTTTGACTTAACTTTTGTGAATGGTGTGAGGTAAATGTTACTGGTTATTTTGTCACTGAAGGATGTTGGATTACTGTGGTTCCTTTGTTGAAAATCTGTGAGTTTATATCTGGGCTTTCTATTCTATTCTGTTCATCTTTTTTTTTTTTTTTTTGAGACAGAGTCTCACTTTGTTACCCAGGCTAGAGTGAGTGCCGTGGCGTCAGCCTAGCTCACAGCAACCTCAAACTCCTGGGCTCAAGTGATTCTGTTGCCTCAGCCTCCCCGAGTAGCTGGGACTACAGGCATGCACCACCATGCCCGGCTAATTTTTT